TTTCCATTCCTTGTGGACAGGTTTGGACAAGCCTGAGTAGAAACGGGACTACTGACTATTTTAAATATGTCTGTAAAAGAAATCTGGGAAAATTTGGTACAGCTCAGAAGAGGGAGACTGCAAGTTCAAAAACTAACTGACATAGATGGTATTTTTCAAGTGGGATTTGCTTGTTGTGAAATAAAATGTCATATACATCTTTTGGGTTGACCCACAATTGAGATGGCATGAATTATTCTTTTTTTCTTTTCTTTTCTGTCAGTTGTGGGTCTTGAACTTGGCCTGGCTATTGTCCCGGAGCTCTTTAGCTCAAGGCAAACACCTTGAGCTCTACCACTTAAGCCACAGCATCACTTCTGGTTTTCTGGTGGTTAATTGGAGATAAGAGTCTCATGCATGTTCCTGCCTGGGCTGGCTTTGAATCCCCATCCTCAGATCTCAGCTTCTTGAATAGCTAGGATAACAGGCATGAGCCATCAAGAGCCCAGCTGGCACAAACTATTCTTGTCAGGATTTACTTGAATAAAATAAAAAGCTTTTTGGAACATCTTTTATTAAAGCATCTAGAGAAAAACATACAACTTATCAGTCTGCATTATCACAAAGTAAACACACTTAAATAATCACAAACCAGGTTAAAAATAGAGTACAAGATAGGCAGTCCCTACTGAGTCCTTTTTCCTAAATAAGTTTTTAGCTGGGTGCTGTTGGCTCATGCCTGTAATCCTAGCTACTCAGGCGGCTGAGATCTGAGGATCACGGTTCAAAGCTACCCCAAGCAGGAAATTCCAGGAGACTGCCAGAAAACCAGAAGTGAGACTGTGGCTTAAGTCGTAGAATGCCCACCTTGGAGGCGAAATGCTCAGGGACAGTGCTCAGGCCCAGAGTTCAAGACCCATGACCAACAACAAAAAACAAAAGAAAAAAAGAAAAAGAAAGAAATATGTTTTTGTGGTGTGCATAGCATCCTCTGCTCATTTTCTTCCTCCCAGAAACTACTTTTTTGGGGACCATGTCTCTTCCATTCTTACTGTGTGTGTGTTTAAATAATTTGCTGTTCTTTTACACAATACTATTGACTCTTCTCTTCCCTTTAATCTAGAATCCAGTAAATGGAATAATAAGAAATGGGAGAGGCAGACAGGATGAATCTCACCATGGCTGCACTGTAAAGAACATGACAGCTGTGGCCAGGTCCACAGGGATTTTTTTTTTGTATTATTATCATTATTTCTCATCTCACATAGATTCCACATGCAGGCAAGCCTCAGAATCTCATTCTGATGTAATAGGTGAGGAAACAGGCTCAAAGGGATTAGGTGGCTGACTCTGGCCTTTGGAAATGATCTCCTTGTAAGAGCTCCACCTGGTCCAGGGTACTGTCTTTCCATGTATACAGGGATTTTTCACCAAGGTGGTAGTCCTCTATCAGAATCCTGTAGAGCACGATGTGACTTCCCAGAAATCTGAGTGTACACCACAAAGAGACGGGAAGAGAGGTAGAGTAAGAAGAAAGCGAGATCAGCAATACTGGAAAGGTGGGGAGGGGGGAGGGTGTTTCACTCCTCCTTAGCCACAGTTACTTAGGTGCTGTTCCCAGTCGGCTGTAGTGACTCAGTGGGGAACACAGCTCTCAGCCATGCTGGCTCCTGTGCCCCTTACCTTCAAGCCAAAGATAGTATTGTCAGTAAGGTCAGCTGCCGGACAGACAGTGCGTCCTCAGGTCCTCCCTCTCTCCCCCCCCTTCCTCTCCCTCCCCCTGACCCCTCTCCGCTCCCTCCCTCTCTTTCCCCCTCCCTCTCCCTGTCCATCCCTCCCTCCCCCTCCCCACGTCCCCGTCCCCTCCCCCTCCATCTCAGCGTGCAGTGTGCACTGCGGGGCGCCCTCCTTTGCCCCGCAGCGGTCACAAAGAACAGCACTTGGCATCTTTACTCCCCACTGCCCAGGAGCCCCGACTTCTCAAAGTTCTGATGCCTGGTGCCCCGGGATCCCTGCCAGTAGAGTAGACAGCTCCGGCCAGGAGCGAGCCTGGTGGCCCTGGGAGCCAGGGAGACCCGGGAGACCCGGCGCGGCTGGCATTCATTCCCAGATCCGAGCTGTCCGCAGTCGCTCGGGGTGAAGGGCGGGCCCGGCCCGGGCGCGAGATGGGCGGCGG